CTTCTCAAAACTCTGGATTCTGATAGAGGGCCATGAGACTTAGACCTGAGTGCAACAATGGAGGCTCTAGACCCTTCCAGAGCTGAGATATCGAAAATCAAAATTTCGACCCGAAAAAAAAAACGACAGTGTTACCCCTTACGTTTTTTTTTTTGGGGCGAAAAATTAAGTATCCCCAATCTTCTCAAAACTCTGGATTCTGATAGAGGGCCATGAGACTTAGACCTGAGTGCAACAATGGAGGCTCTAGACCCTTCCAGAGCTGAGATATCGAAAATCAAAATTTCGACCCGAAAAAAAAAACGACAGTGTTACCCCTTACGTTTTTTTTTTGGGCGAAAAATTAAGTATCCCCAATCTTCTCAAAACTCTGGATTCTGATAGAGGGCCATGAGACTTAGACCTGAGTGCAACAATGGAGGCTCTAGACCCTTCCAGAGCTGAGATATCGAAAATCAAAATTTCGACCCGAAAAAAAAACGACAGTGTTACCCCTTACGTTTTTTTTTTTGGGGCGAAAAATTAAGTATCCCCAATCTTCTCAAAACTCTGGATTCTGATAGAGGGCCATGAGACTTAGACCTGAGTGCAACAATGGAGGCTCTAGACCCTTCCAGAGCTGAGATATCGAAAATCAAAATTTCGACCCGAAAAAAAAAACGACAGTGTTACCCCTTACGTTTTTTTTTTGGGCGAAAAATTAAGTATCCCCAATCTTCTCAAAACTCTGGATTCTGATAGAGGGCCATGAGACTTAGACCTGAGTGCAAAAATGGAGGCTCTAGACCCTTCCAGAGCTGAGATATCGAAAATCAAAATTTCGACCCGAAAAAAAAAACGACAGTGTTACCCCTTACGTTTTTTTTTTGGGCGAAAAATTAAGTATCCCCAATCTTCTCAAAACTCTGGATTCTGATAGAGGGCCATGAGACTTAGACCTGAGTGCAACAATGGAGGCTCTAGACCCTTCCAGAGCTGAGATATCGAAATCAAAATTTCGACCCGAAAAAAAAACGACAGTGTTACCCCTTACGTTTTTTTTTTTGGCGCGAAAAATTAAGTATCCCAATCTTCTCAAAACTCTGGATTCTGATAGAGGGCCATGAGACTTAGACCTGAGTGCAACAATGGAGGCTCTAGACCCTTCCAGAGCTGAGATATCGAAACTCAAAATTTCGACCCGAAAAAAAAAACGACAGTGTTACCCCTTACGTTTTTTTTTTTGGGCGAAAAATTAAGTATCCCCAATCTTCTCAAAACTCTGGATTCTGATAGAGGGCCATGAGACTTAGACCTGAGTGCAACAATGGAGGCTCTAGACCCTTCCAGAGCTGAGATATCGAAACTCAAAATTTCGACCCGAAAAAAAAAACGACAGTGTTACCCCTTACGTTTTTTTTTTTGGGCGAAAAATTAAGTATCCCCAATCTTCTCAAAACTCTGGATTCTGATAGAGGGCCATGAGACTTAGACCTGAGTGCAACAATGGAGGCTCTAGACCCTTCCAGAGCTGAGATATCGAAAATCAAAATTTCGACCCGAAAAAAAAAACGACAGTGTTACCCCTTACGTTTTTTTTTTGGGCGAAAAATTAAGTATCCCCAATCTTCTCAAAACTCTGGATTCTGTTAGAGGCCATGAGACTTAGACCTGAGTGCAACAATGGAGGCTCTAGACCCTTCCAGAGCTGAGATATCGAAAATCAAAATTTCGACCCGAAAAAAAAAAACGACAGTGTTACCCCTTACGTTTTTTTTTTTTGGGCGAAAAATTAAGTATCCCCAATCTTCTCAAAACTCTGGATTCTGATAGAGGGCCATGAGACTTAGACCTGAGTGCAACAATGGAGGCTCTAGACCCTTCCAGAGCTGAGATATCGAAATCAAAATTTCGACCAAAAAAAAAAAACGACAGTGTTACCCCTTACGTTTTTTTTTTGGGCGAAAAATTAAGTATCCCCAATCTTCTCAAAACTCTGGATTCTGATAGAGGGCCATGAGACTTAGACCTGAGTGCAACAATGGAGGCTCTAGACCCTTCCAGAGCTGAGATATCGAAATCAAAATTTCGACCCGAAAAAAAAAACGACAGTGTTACCCCTTACGTTTTTTTTTTTTGGGCGAAAAATTAAGTATCCCCAATCTTCTCAAAACTCTGGATTCTGATAGAGGGCCATGAGACTTAGACCTGAGTGCAACAATGGAGGCTCTAGACCCTTCCAGAGCTGAGATATCGAAATCAAAATTTCGACCCGAAAAAAAAAACGACAGTGTTACCCCTTACGTTTTTTTTTGGGCGAAAAATTAAGTATCCCAATCTTCTCAAAACTCTGGATTCTGATAGAGGGCCATGAGACTTAGACCTGAGTGCAACAATGGAGGCTCTAGACCCTTCCAGAGCTGAGATATCGAAACTCAAAATTTCGACCCGAAAAAAAAACGACAGTGTTACCCCTTACTTTTTTTTTTGGGCGAAAAATTAAGTATCCCCAATCTTCTCAAAACTCTGGATTCTGATAGAGGGCCATGAGACTTAGACCTGAGTGCAACAATGGAGGCTCTAGACCCTTCCAGAGCTGAGATATCGAAACTCAAAATTTCGACCCGAAAAAAAAACGACAGTGTTACCCCTTACGTTTTTTTTTTTTGGGCGAAAAATTAAGTATCCCCAATCTTCTCAAAACTCTGGATTCTGATAGAGGGCCATGAGACTTAGACCTGAGTGCAACAATGGAGGCTCTAGACCCTTCCAGAGCTGAGATATCGAAAACCAAAATTTCGACCAAAAAAAAAAAACGACAGTGTTACCCCTTACGTTTTTTTTTTTTGGGCGAAAAATTAAGTATCCCCAATCTTCTCAAAACTCTGGATTCTGATAGAGGGCCATGAGACTTAGACCTGAGTGCAACAATGGAGGCTCTAGACCCTTCCAGAGCTGAGATATCGAAAATCAAAATTTCGACCCGAAAAAAAAAACGACAGTGTTACCCCTTACGTTTTTTTTTTTGGGCGAAAAATTAAGTATCCCCAATCTTCTCAAAACTCTGGATTCTGATAGAGGGCCATGAGACTTAGACCTGAGTGCAAAAATGGAGGCTCTAGACCCTTCCAGAGCTGAGATATCGAAAATCAAAATTTCGACCCGAAAAAAAAACGACAGTGTTACCCCTTACGTTTTTTTTTTTTGGGGCGAAAATTAAGTATCCCCAATCTTCTCAAAACTCTGGATTCTGATAGAGGGCCATGAGACTTAGACCTGAGTGCAACAATGGAGGCTCTAGACCCTTCCAGAGCTGAGATATCGAAAATCAAAATTTCGACCCGAAAAAAAAAAACGACAGTGTTACCCCTTACGTTTTTTTTTTGGGGCGAAAAATTAAGTATCCCCAATCTTCTCAAAACTCTGGATTCTGATAGAGGGCCATGAGACTTAGACCTGAGTGCAACAATGGAGGCTCTAGACCCTTCCAGAGCTGAGATATCGAAAATCAAAATTTCGACCCGAAAAAAAAAACGACAGTGTTACCCCTTACGTTTTTTTTTTGGGCGAAAAATTAAGTATCCCCAATCTTCTCAAAACTCTGGATTCTGATAGAGGGCCATGAGACTTAGACCTGAGTGCAACAATGGAGGCTCTAGACCCTTCCAGAGCTGAGATATCGAAAATCAAAATTTCGACCCGAAAAAAAAAACGACAGTGTTACCCCTTACGTTTTTTT